TTCTTCATTAAAAAGTGCAATGATGAATTGGAACCTTATTTATTAGCATGTATAAATACAATGTGAAGCCCCATAAAAGAAAATATTAACAGTGTCACACTTTTGCTCAAGTCATGTCAAGATTAAATGTACAAAGAAAATTTGTTTCCAGCACTTGCTCTAGGTTCACATGTTCTTATCCATGTAATTCTTGTTTAAAACCCTAATACGACCCTGAAAGCCTCACTAGTCTTTCATATATCAATACTTCAGAATTGGTAATTTGGTATTCAAGCAGTTTACCAGTCTCTGGAAAATAGGACCCGCTGCTACATTTTTTGCAGGTTGAAATATTTGAACATTGCTGTTTAAGTACAAAACTACTAATAAAACAAATTCCATATGCACAATTCACACATAGAACAAACACAAGGCTAATTACCAGAACCATACCAAATCCAAACTCTTCTTCAACACGAATTCCAATGAAAACAAGACTCAACATGTTGGCAAGCACATGGATACGGATAACCCCACCATGCAACTACATGCAAGAGAATAGGCGCCAAGCTTGGTATCTATGAACCACTTTGTCCACTTGCATAGCACCCATCTTAACTATCCTGAATAACAAACAGATGTTAGAAGAACATAAAACATATCAGCAAATATCAAAAAATAAACTACTCACTGATATCCACAATGGTCACACTTCATAAAGCCTAACAATTTTTATGTCTTTTTGTTTTCAAAAGAAGACATAAATTGCAAGAAAGGGATGACAAAGCAGAACAGAACTCACGTGGATAAAGAAGGACCAATGAGAGAGTTCTCTTTGAGGGTCTGAAATGAGAATCTGCCAAGAAAAGGAGCAATGCAAGAAGCGGGAACTGATTGCTTAGGACAATCATTTTCATACATGGTGATAACGAACAAGGTTATGTTGGCCACCACAAAGGTCGGCACCAGCCACGGGAACCACCGCTTAAAGGGCCTGGAGTAGCGCTCCACCGACTCACCGTCGTGGTTTGCCGGAAATGGCCCCTTCGACGGAGGAGCGGGTGCGTTGTCCCCACGCCGCGTACGAACTTCAACATCAACACCAGCAGAAGATAACGGTGATGATGGGTCCATCCCAATCACCCACCACTTGACGAAATTTTATCAAAGATTGAAACTTTCTATCACATAATAATGATTCCCACAAATATCAATGTGGCAGTGGCATGAGTGAACGTGATCGGTGAATATGCAGCTTCTGATTCGACTTGAAACTAAAGCCCAATAACACAAACAGAGTGGGACTGAAAATTTAGAGACTCCAGCTTTCAAATTAGCAGAATCCAACAGAAAGTATCTATCAAGGATTGCTTGTTTCTTAATTTCTCATTCTCATCGCCGCGTCACTGATAATTGATTTGGCGGGGGTATGATTGTTTACCAACTTTGACGATAACGTTTGGTTAGTACAACTATGTTTGCTTCAGTGAGTTCATTGGGTTACGCTACAAATTATTTATGTAAAATATTAATGATGTTAAGTGTGATAACTTTCTCTCCTATACATCTTTGGATAAATAATAGTGCCACTTTTTTTTATGATGGTGGAGTCCACAAATTTGTCTCTATAATATAACATAACTTATCTTCTTTAACATGAGATTAATATAACCCATTATTTATTGCTCTTACGAGGTATATGATAGTATAAATTTATATTTATGATATTTTTAATTGTTTGATACGATTATAATATAGTATAAGTTTATAATTTAATCAAGTTTAAAAAATTGGGGTTAGGCCTAATTTTAAAATATTTGATGTTTTTATTTTTATAAAAATTAATATATTTTTGGATATATTGATTGATCAATAGATTTCTATAAAAATTAATATCATATCACATATTTGGAAAAATAATATAAATTCTTTATTAAAGGGTGTTTTTGGCAAAGATAATTAATTTTATCCTATCTAGTATTATACAATCCATTATCAAACACAAGTTAATATTATCTTATATAATACATTATCTTAAACAATACTATGCCCAAACGCTGGATAGTATTAAACTTTAATCATGTTTTATATAATTTGGCCTCATGTTTGATGTACAATATAAGATAAAGTATGATAGTAAACGATCTAATTAAATTTTAATATTATCCAGCATTTGATATGATATTTTATAAGATAATGTATTGTACAATATAATATCATCAATGTTTGATAATGCACTAAATAATACTAGCTAGGATAAAAATAAATTTTTTGACAAAAATACCCTTTAATAAAAAAGTTATATTATTCATCCAAATATGTTATGGGCATGTTTGGTACATAGTATAAGATAAAATCTGATAGTATAAGATCTGATAGTACAAGGTCTGATTGTATAAGACTTGATTAAATTTTAATACTATCCAGCGTTTAGTATGGTATTGTATAAGATAATATCATCCAGTGTTTGGTAATGCATTGTATAATACTATATAGGATAAAAATAAATATTTTTAACAAAAATACATTTTAATAAAGAATTTATATAATTCCTCCAAAAGGAGGGTTATACTTACAACCTATTTTCGTTTACAACATTCTACAATTATATCTTAATTGTTGATTTTCATCAATTAACGGTTATTATTTTCACAAATCAAACTTATTAATTAATTATTAGTTCGCAATAAATGATAACCATTGATTGCCGGAATTCAACCGGTAAAATATGGTTGTAAATGAAAATAGGTTGTAAGTATAACCTTCCTCTTCTTCCAAATATATATTAATTTTTATAGAAATCTATTGACGAGTATGTTCAAAAAATATATTAATTTTTATAAAAATAAAAATCTCCAATATATTAAAAAAAAAATTAATCATTGAGAATTTCACTGGTTAATACATTAACCTTTTATCAGGCCTAAACCCGCCCTCCAAGCCTGATTAAGTTATATATCATTTTGATGTATGAAGGAATACTGACTACTACTATATAAACTTATACTATACGATATTCACATCAAACAACTAAAAATATCATAAAGTATAGTATGAGCTTATACTATTAGGCATTATACATCACACCAAACAGGCTCTTATACAATACCATACCAAATGCTAAATAATATTAAATTTTGAATCAGGTCTTATACTTCAAGGTCTTATACTATCAGGCTTTATTGTATACTATGTACCAAACATGCCCTAAATCTGATTAAATTATATATCATTTTGATGTATTATTCTATTGTATAAACTTATATTATAAGATGATTACATCAAATAACTAAAAATGTCATAACGTGTAATATAAATTTATATTATTAGACTTTATACGTCACATCAAACAGACGTTTAGTAATATCACATTTTACACGCAAATGATTATATTGCGCCCAATTATTGTTGGCATAATCTTTTTTCCCGTTAAACTAAAGATTTCATTTTTAATAACTAAAATAGTTTATGTTATAGACTCACACAATCAACCCATGAACATTGGATAACGGGTCTTATCCAGCCCACCCATAAAATAAATAAATGATTAAATCTCAATAGATATCTCTCTTCCAACCTCATTTCTTTTAGTTGTGTCACCGCGTGTATACACACTCCCTTAAACTTTCTGTCTATTATTTGTGCATAATAACCGGAGATTATTTTTTTTCCATAAACATCGTTAGCTTACAAATTTTAAAACAACCTCGATTCGCTAGAATCAAACAATTTAGCAGGACATGTATTATAAACATTGGTTTTTTGTTATAAAAAAAAAAACATTGGTTTTTATTAGTCCATATATTAAAAAAGACAATTTAACAATTTTGTAAATAATTATATTTTTCTCTTACTGTGTATACGACAACAATTCTGTTCTCTAACACTATTTTTTAAAAGAAATAATTATTTTTTATTTTTGTGCCTTTGAATTGTTTATAAAAAAAAATATGTTTGATAACATATTCTATTTTGTGTTTGATAACATAATAAATAATAAAATGAAAAATCATTCTTATTAAGCGTAATTTTTTTTCGGATCATCACTTTTCTTTTCATATGGTTTGGCGGTGGTGGTAGTTGTGATATGGTGGTGGCGGCAGCAGCAGCGATGTGGTGATGGTAGTGGTGGTAATAATGGCGTGGTGGTGGTGGCGGCGGTTGCATGGCGATAGAGCGGTGGTGGTGGCGTGATGATGGTAATGGTGGTGATGGCATGCTGGTGGTAGTGACGACAGTGGTTGTGGCGGCGACATCGGTAGTGATGACAATAGTGGTGGCAGTGGTGATGGCCTTGTGACGGTAGTGGTGGTGGTGGCGGTAGCGGTAGCGGTAGTGATGGCGGTGACATGATGCTGGTAGCGATGGTAATGGCGATTGTTGTGGCAATGGTGGTGGTGGTATGTGACCGGGATGGTGATGGTAGCAGTGGTGGTAGTGATGGTGGTGACATAATGGTAGAGATGATGGTGGTCGTAGAGGTGGTGGTGACATTGTGATTGTGGTTGTGGTGGTGACGACAACAATGGTGGTATGACGACGATGATATCGGTGGTAGTGTCGGGATGGTGGTGGTGTTGATAGTTGTAGAGAGTGATTGAGAGAGAAATGTTTCTCATCTTGTGCTCGAAAATAAAAAAACAGACATTTTCTGTTCTTTTTTCTATTCCAATTCATTCGCGAGAACAAAAAAATAAATCAATTTTGTTAAACACTCTTTCTATCCATTTCTGTTCCCATTAACAAAAATTGAAGAAAAAACCTTATTCTGTGAAGGTGCTACTTTTTAATTAAGAAATTAAGAAAAAGGACAAATAAAAGAGATAGATGATTGGATTTCTAATATATCAAATTATCAATGGTCAATTAATTAGTTTCTTAAATAGAGAAAAAAACAAAATATATATATAGAGAGAGAGAATTTTGTAAAATAATAAAATAAACCAGTGGCAGTGTCCGTGTCTCTTCCCACAGATATTTAGGCGGCAAAAAGGAATGAGAACCTCAAGAGGGCAATTTTGTCCAATTGGGGACTATTTATGTGGTGAAGAATGGGTTTCATGGAAGCGCACGTGAATCGATGATGGCTGGCACGAGCACCTCCAACGTGATCCAATCGATGTTCGTAGAATTACCAAGAAGGAACCGGTTCGGTCGGATCTCCGGCAAGAGCCACCGTGTTTCCGCCACCTCCGACGTAAGCGCTGAGGGACCCTACTGCATCTACGTTGGTCCCCTTGAAACCGCCAACAAAGAGACCCTTGAAGCTCTTTATTACCAAGTAATAAATTCCCATTACTCTTAAGCTTTTTAATTAATTAATTACTTACTAATCTAAACTGATTTTGTGCATATTTAATTTCCAGTTTTAGATAGAGGACAATATCTGTGAAAAAACATTAATTTATATGGTATTTTAACATGCTGACTCTTTGCTTTTTGAAATAGGCACGAGATGCTTATTATAGTGGTGAGCCTTTGATAGTTGATGACATGTTTGATAGAGTAGAGGTATCTTCTTTTCCTTCACTATTTAACATAATCGACATGGATATATAGTTCTTAACTTGTAATGTATAATGACTTGCCTTTAATTAAAATTAAATTATGGAAACAGCTAAAGCTAAGATGGTATGGTTCAAAGTCAGTTGTTAAGTATCCTCGATGCAGTATCAGGAGGCATTCAACATATGCAGATGCTGAGGTAAATTTATCTACAATTTGAGATTAACATGTTGTTGTGTGACCTGGCTGTGATCCCACATTCATGGGAATTTGACTATCTTGGTCTCTGACTTCCTAAGTTCTGGTTGCATGATGCCCTAAATAGTTTTGACTTTTAAGAATGCATTGCATAGAGTACTTACATTTCTTGACTCTTTATGTGGCAGTGGCTGAGAATGTTATGTTTGTGTGTAATATGATGTATTTCTATTCTATTCAATGTCTGTAGTTGCTACTGATGTATAAATTGTTATGAATAAAAAGTTGAAAGAGTCGTGTCTTTTCGTTTTCGAACAGTCACACCTCTTCGTTTCTAAACAGTCGTGCATGTTCATTTCCGAACAATCGCGCCTCTTTGGTGTGTCTCTGGTAATCGTTCATCTCTTTTTTTCTACTGGTACTCAGTAAATTCAAATAACTAGTTTTCCTGCCTCCTTAACGAAACTCTGCCAAAATTAATCCTCATTTACTGCCTTTGTCTGCGAAGTCGAAAGAAAATATAGCAGATCCATTAACAAAAGGTGTAACTAGAGAGTTAATGTATAATTTGTCCAAAAGAATGGGTTTAAGGCCACTAAAACGTTAATCGTTGCAGACACTCTACCTAGAAGAGTGGAGATCTCATGAACTAGGTTCAAAGAGAAAACCAAGTAATGATTAACAGATAAGCATTGTGGAGTTTTTCAAACTCATACTAATTTCTAGACAAGGCAGTCCATAAGTAAAGGGTAGCAATTAAGCTTTTAATGATTTATTATTCTAATGTGTTCAGATAGCGTAGGATGCAATGCGAGAAATCACATGTGAGTGTGAAGTGAGGGCCACTTTTGTGAGAATATGACAAGGCCATATTCTCTAATACACTTGCAGAACCAGGAGGTGTTCGTAGCCAAAACGGACATAAACATAGGATCAACCACGTTCAAGGAATAATTGTGTGTTTCCTGTTGTCTTGGTTTACACTCAAAGGTCGATGGTTACAAGGCATCGCGTCCACTGATTGACCGAGTAAACCCGATAGGTCTCATGAAGGATGATTACAAGGCATTGTGTCCACCGATCCTGATCCTGATGCAGTTGTTGCTCATTGATCAGTTGCAGATTGCACCTAGCCCAAGATATAAATGGTCAAGGAGATTAAACTTCTTATTAATGTGGGGGATTGTTGTATAAATTGTTATGAATAAGAAGTTGAAAAAGTCGAGTCTTTTCGTTTTCGAATAGTCACGTAATAAGAACCTTGGGATGCACCACCCCAAAAGCTAGCTGAAAGGGTGGGAGTACCCAAGGCCTTATAAACCCCACATTAGTTGCCCATACAACCAATGTGAGACTCCAAGTCCCATACCTTGCAAATGGATCCTAACATTCCACCACGCTTTGTAGCCCTAGCGCCCATGTGGGCTGACTTTGCGCTAGTCTTTCACTAGCCTTGAGCGAACTCTGGAATGCCATCATCACCATCTGTGCCGCTCGATTGCAACTAGGAGACATAGTGGAAAACTCTGATAACATGTGATAAGAACCTTGGAATGCACCATCCCAAAAGCTAGCTCAAAAGGTGAGAGTGTCCAAGGTCTTATAAACTCTACATTAATTGCTCATATAACCAATGTGGGACTCCAAGTCCCACACCTTGCAAATGGATCTTAACTAGTTCTTGTTTCTCTGTTGTTGGTTTGTTTGGGTGTTGAGGTTTGTATCAAATGGTATCAGAGCCTTCCACTATGTCTTCCGGTTGCAATCGAGCGGTGCAGGTAGTGACGCCGACATTGCACTGTTCGCTCGGGGCTAGTAAAAGACTAGAGCAAAGCAAGCGCGCGTGGGCGCCAAGGCTATGGAGCGTGATGAAATGTTAGGACCCATTTGCAAGGTATGGGACTTGGAGTCCCACATTAGTTGTATGGGCAATTAATGTGAGGTTTATAAGGTCTTGGGCACTCTCACCCTTTGAGCTAGTTTTTGAGGGTGTGCATCCTAAGGTTTTATCATCACACCTCTTCATTTCTGAACAGTCGCGCCTGTTTGGTGTGTCTCTGGTGACCGTTAATTTGTTATATATATCGGTACTCAGTAAATTCAAACAACTAGTTTTCCTGACTCCTTACCAAAACTTTGCCAAAATTAATCCTCATTTACTGCCTTTGTCTGCAATTGATCAAGCGTTCGTTGTGTAAGCTAATATTCTTTTGGTTGTGCCACCGTTGAATCAAAATTAACCCGTTCTATTCTGGGAGGCATTTGTTCACGAACCTTAGGCACACCATTAAAGGGGCAAAATTGCCTTAAGAACATAGTATACAATACTGGGTTCAGGTTTAATTTCCTGTAATTTTTCCATTTTGCATATTGCTTTCTAATTTTCTGTGATTGCATTTTGTTCTATGCATTTCTGTGGTTTTTCACAGTTATCACCATCACCCATAACTCAGATACTTGCACTACCACCAATAACAGCTACATATTTATCTGGTTTGAATGTTCAGGTTCCCCTCCCCCATGCTACTTTCTTCTTCTCTCTATGTCTTTTTTTTTTCTTGGTTAATATTGAGTGATGTGGTCGTAGGGCAGGAAGATCTATCTATGGTTTTTGCATTGGCAAGCGCATGGGCGATGTTCCTTGCATTTGGCAGTTTAGCATGTGTTGGACCCATATCGTACACTGTTGGCATGGCTTATCAAAATGCATTCGATTCAGGACTATCACATGGTAGCCAAACTTTTGGGCTAGGATTTCTGGCCTTGGTGAATAGTATCTTCATTGTGCTGGGCTTTGTCATCGGGTACCCGGTGTCTTCAGCTTCAGGTAAAATCTTTTTGCTGGTATTCGTCTTCATCATCTGATGCCTTAATTTTCAAATTTGTACTCCAAACAATATCTCAAATGTCATGTCCTTATATTTAGCTCAGTTGGTTGAATTCCTTATTGGAGAGTTTTCTTTCTGTAACCTGAGAAAAATATTCAGTCATTCATGACATTGCCACTGCTTCTATATTGGTATTTTATTGAATGTTGATTTTCACAGTTAAGGTGCTTCAAGGCCTGTGGAGGAATGACTTGGTGGCACTAAAAGGAGCATGTCCAAATTGTGGAGAAGAGGTCAGTCATTGTGATAATTGTCACATAAGCCTTTTGTTTTCCATCTGTCTCTCAATTTATGTGTATATCTGTCCAGTTTGAGAGGCACATATGTAAGGTTTAACTTCACTTAGCTCATGCACACTGAGTTGGATTTATTTTCTTTCAGGTGTTTGCATTTGTGAGAATGGATAGGAATGTTGACTCACCTCATAGAGCAGATTGTCATGTGTGTGAATGCTTATTAGAATTTCGCACTAAAGTGGAGGTAATAATGTATAGATTTTTTTTACTACTTGAAAAAGTTCTAAAACTAGACTGCTATTTATTTCTCATTTTATTAGAGAAAATTGAAAATCACTATTCTAAAATTTTGCAATGCATGTTGATGATGTAGATGGTATGAAATATTTGTTTCTCCCCTGTTTTTCCTCCCCTGCCCAAGAAAAAAAAAAAAAGCACCCACCAATAGATTATGCTGCACTTTACATGACACGTGGTGTTATTGTTTTTCAGCAATCGGGTTCAAGATTAGGTAGACAATGGGTTTATGGGCGTATTTACCTTGTATCTCTAACGGGCAGATCCCGACGCCAAAGACAGCTATGAATTTTCTTCCCTGCGTTTGTGACTTGCTTCTAGGACTGAGTATAGTAAGGAATCAGAGTAGCATCAATTTTCCTTTTCATATTTTAGTCTAGAACAGTTTTGCCTTAAACCAATTTGAAATATTTTTCGTAAGGAAGAAGTTGACATGTTAAGGAATGGATAGTTTCTTTGATTTGATAGCGTGTTAATGTCGTGCAAGATTTTGGGGGGTGAAATTTGATTTGTAAACTAAGATTTTTTTCATTTGATGTCAAGATCTCAAATAGAATTTCCAGTTTTATTTGATATTATGATAATACCGAATAGAATTTCTAGGAAAATTGAATTCTCATGCAAAGCAGGAACCCAATTCCATTTATACAAGTTGATCTCTATATTTTTCATCTTGTAGAAACTCTTGTGATCAAAATATGAAATGTCAGATATCATCATCATGTTTATGTTTATTATGCGTATGGTAACTATTGCCATGATTGCCAGTGGCATCGTTGTTTTAGTTATCCTAGTTGTGAACTTTGATCCCTGTAGCTTAATTCCTATAGCTTAAGGTATTGGCTCACGAAAAACCAAAAGTTTAATGACATGAAGCTATAGAGACTTAAAATATATATAGAATCGAAACTCAAATAATTGACAATTACAGGGAACAAAATTTACCTTTTCAAGTTCTAGAGAATGATAATTATTACTGTTCATTCATTTTATCTTACCTAAATCTTAGTTAATTTTATTTCCAGTCGACCGTAAAACAAATAAAAAAAAGCCTAAGCTCGAACCAAATTCATTTTTCTTGCAGAATAACAAAAGTTATGTTTATGAAACTTGCACGAAATTAAAAGTGATAGAGAGAGAAAAAAATTTCTTAGCTGTAGGAAAGTGGAAAATGATTGATTAGCATATGATAAAATCTTAGCTTGCAAGTTAGCTCATTTACAAGAAACATTTGAAGATATCGACCAAGCACACAACGCAGTATGTATTTTTGGTTGCAAACTTATTTCATTCGGATAAGCACACACGACAAATGACTGATGATATTTGTACTTTAAAAAAAAATACAGAACTTTTATATTCATTGTTTGAATAAAACAAAGTAAAAGGAAAACGTTTGTGAAAATACGTATTTTTCTTGTTTTATTATTTTAAAAAGGCTTTAATGTTTTTAAAAAACAACGTTGTTTTGAAATGAAAAATAAAAAAATTACGATGAAAAAAACTATTATAACCCTGAAATAAATCATAATTACAAAAATACTTTGATTTTTATCTCAAAATAATGTCGTTTTGAGCTCAATGTAATTAAGTTATCTACATTGACCGTAGAAAAAACGAACCTTTTTAAAAATAATTGTTAAAAATTTTTATGAACAATTATCATTCCTGTGTCACAAATACCCTCTACTTTTAGTAAGTGAACCAGAAACTTCTTTTACTTCGTTTCAGAACAAAGATAACTGATAACATCATCAAAATAAAATTATTGGTAAACAACCATATCCTTGATCATGAAAATCTTTGGGCATTTCACCATAATCATATGCATAAATACACAGCAACACTGGATGCTTAAACAATCAGTTGATAACAGCTGCAACCAAATACCAATCCCTTACAAGCTACACCAAGAGTCCGCGGGAATTCTGTATGCATGACATAAACATCAGGAATAAATGGTCCTTCTGATTTTGCCTGCAAGCAACTTTATTTCACAGTTCAACAAACAGAATTTTAATTGCCATCAGTTCTGCAGTCCACAATTTGCTGTAATATGAGGTGTCATTACCAATGCTAGAGTAAAACAGCTATTTACCATGGAAAGCAGAAGCTAGTGTTCATGTATTGCAAAATCACAACATTTTACATTGAAGTAAAGCAGATAACTGCACCGGCAACTATGAACTGTGACGTAATCAAGTAAATCTTTCAACCGTGTTGGAAAAATTAGCAAAGCTTCTAATGCCAAGCCAATCAGAAGTGTGCTAAACTGTAAACTAGTATCCAAGAAAGCTGCACATATGTGAAAAGTGAAGTCAGATTATAGAACTGCAAAAGCTTTCTATTCTCTTTTTTGTGCACAAAAGCCTCATTTTCTGCAGTTGACAAAGCAATGACTAACATAGCTTATTACCAGGAAAAGTGTTATAGAAGCAAAAATCCCCTCTTGGAGAAGAGCTCCATGACCACCAAACTCTTCCTCATCAACCTTTAATATTACTGCATAATAACTATATGTAATCCCTGTGGACATCACTAAGAAACTGCAAAACAGGAAAACATATAACAAATAATAAACATCAAACTTACAAACAGCGTTAATGAAATGCTGTCAAAATTCACTGCAGATGGCATAAAAGTGCAATGATAAATAAACTATGAAGTGAGGATTTCAATTTGGACAAAGATATATTTTTTATAATGTTACAAAAGCAACATGACATTGACAATTTGAGCCTGAGAAATTTTATATAAAGTCAAGTCTCAACAATTCATCAAATCTTCTGCTTATAAAATACATGTTTGCACAAAATAAAACTGATTTCCGCTACAAAAGGTCACTTGATCTCTGTAGCTTGAACCTCATTAATAAATTAATTTCTATACATTACTAGATGTCTTTCTAAAGGTTAAAATACAAACAAATCTTTACAAATAGTAGCATATTGAATTGATAAAAAATGAAAAAATGAAGAAACAATGACATAACAGCTTCGAAGGGTTGCTATCTCCAAAGAGACCACCTCCTCTATTTGTTGAGTTTATGTTGCTGTCGCAAAATATAATTTACACATACAGGAAATTTCCTAAGTTTTGTAACTTGACAGCAGTTTCATTATGTTGCTGTTGCAAAATATAATTTACACATACAGGAAATTTACCAAGTTTAATTTACACATACAGGAAATTTCGTAAGTTTTGTTACTAGAACAGCAGTTTCATATTCCGCCCTTGTTGCTTACTTTATGTAAAATCTGAATCACTTTTAAAGGTTTATCTACATTTCTTATCCACCTGTAGACCCCTCTTATAGATCTACAAGGTCATTTCCCATTCTTTCTTTTCCGATAATCAATTAATCATTGGTAGAATACTCAATGCCTCCTCTCCAGTATGTAATTCCTTGTCTCAGAAATGTTGTGATCAAAATAAACTCCACAGCCATATGATCAAGGACTCCTAATAAAATCTCATAGCTGGGATGCATTTTTCAGACAAGATGTTTCTAGATTTATGCATTGCACCAGTTGGTAGACACAGAGAAATCAAAATCAATGAATAAGACCATTAACATCGTTTACACATGATACAACGACATCAGTGAATATAGTCAATATACAACTTCAATGACAAACAATTATAAGATAAACATTCTGAATTGGGAAAAAAAAAAAAAACACTTATGGGGCGTTTGGTACAAGAGAAATTTTTATTTGTCCGGGAATCTCGATTTTCAAAAATATAATTTTTACATTCAGTTTACGATAATATCTGAAAATTTAAAATTTAAAAAAATTCAATTTCCCGATAATCTGAAAAAAAATCCGTGTACCAAACGGCCCCCACAGGATAAACCATATTCCTCCAATTAAAGGTATGGCACCCCAAAGGAATCCACACGCAAGGCCAAGCAATTGTCTAATCCAATGCAATACGTCTCCCAATTGATCCTACTTGGAGGTCATAGATAGAGAAAGAAAGACAAGTGTTTTTAGCATGATTATACCAAGTGAGTAACTGCATAGAACAACATAACAAAAGGAGATCATGTAATAACTACTATTTTTAATTTTGATTGCACCTTTATCTTAATGACGATTCTTAATCATGCACTATTAAAACAGCTGAGACCATATTAAATCAGTGACATCATTTTATTTTATTTTTTTTCTTACCAAGTTTCTGGTAAGCAAAAAAATCAATTCTCAATGTCCAAAATTATTCGTTTCATTTTAACTGAAATTCCAGCAAACATCCCGGTTGTCAAATTGGGACGAGGAAATGATCTACAAAAGATGAAAGGCGAAGAAAACAAAAACACAAAACATCCTCTTTGAAAGAACAAAACTTGTCCCAGGAAGCTTCAGGATCAAACAATTTGGCGAATTTGGAAGGGGACAGGTGATCATTCTGGTGCTGCTGTTGATGATTGAATTTAACAGATTTACCTTCTTTCATGGTGAGGCAGAAAGCAAGCAAGAATCAAAACAATAGAGTGAATAATTAAAAGGGAATGAACTACTTCATATAAAGCTCGGATTTTTTAATCGTAATTAACCAATGATTAGGTTATTAAAGTTAAGGTTTTGGATTGAAAATTAAAAAACCAAAATGAATCTGAATGATGGAGTGAGGATTGAACAATGTTTGATCTGCCATCTCATCTCTCTGAACTTGCTGCGTTGTACTCTCAGAGCAACACTGACACAATGTTTGTTTTATCATAGATTTAAATATATTCAGTTCAATATTTTTTTGGTAAAGATTCAGTTCAATATTTTAATGCGAAATAATACTCTCATGCTACATGAGATATTCTCATTTTCCTATACAAATTCGTTTTTCGTGCCAAATAATTTTTCTTTTCTTTTTTAATATAAAATATGGGACCCACATTTAACTTCTCTCTACTTTTTTCTCTCCTACAATCCTACAACATAAGAAAAGTTAAACCCTATTTTAATTTATTAGAATGTTGACAGCTCTTTAAAGGCTTAAATAAGAGATCATTGTAAATAAACACACATGTTATAAAGACAGTGAGAAGAAACAGAGATTACGGCCTCTTTTCATTGTGTTCTGATTTTTTTGTTTTTAAAACTATTTTGTAAAATAGTTATGAAAATAGCTGTTTTCTATATTTTTTTCTTTTTGAAAGTTAAAAACAAAAACAGAAAATAAAAATAACTCAGACATATTCTCTAAATTTGATTTTAAAAACAAAAAAACAGTTATAATTTTCAAAATATTTTTTACAAATAGGTCTTACCAAACGAGATTTTTAGTTTTTAAGTTTTTTTTTCTTAAAACTAAAAAATTGTTTTGCAAAACAGAAATCAAACGGAGACATATAGCTCCCAGATTTTTAGAATCATATTTATTTCTCCTATTTTTCTTTCCTTATCTCATAACAAAAATATGTTTGTACGGTTAAAGTTTTTTTTTTTTGTCACATGAAAATAAATGGATTTCATTGTAGAAAAAAAAAATTTAATAAAATTCACTCGTTTTTATATAAGTATGACTGTATGATAGGAAAAATATGTCTAGAGTAAAAATAAAAAAATAAAACCTAAATTAAAAACTTGTTTTTTTATTACTAATTTCTCAGATTTCATAGTATTGAAACGATACACTTGAGCTAATTTTTAAATAAAATTTTTAGGAAAATGCTTAAAAAACTGTGTGAATTTCGTTTGGATCACTTGTCTCCTATGTTTTTATTTATCACTTATCCCTATGATTTTTTCATTCAAATCCATCCTTAAACAACTAGAAGCTTGATAAATCTATTTATTTTACCTTTTTTACAAAAACACTTCCTCAGCCTTGTGTATCTATCCTGTTCCCGAAAGCTTTACAAGGGTTTCTAAAGATACAAAAAAAGTTCTAGAATTTTAGAAAAAATTTGTGAAGTGCCTACAACAAGCTAACAAAATTTCTTTCTTATTACAAAAAAAAAAAAAAAAAAAATTCTTTCTTAGGTAATGAAAAATTGTGTATTGAAATTATTGGATAATTCTTCCATTACATACTGACTTAATTGAGCTGTATCTTCTTTATTCATATTTATGAGGAAATAAATAAAAAATCAATTGAGGCAAAAAGTGACTTTACGTCAAAGCAACTTGAATCGCGATCGAGCAACAATTAGTTTATTTTTTTATTTTTTATTTTTTATATATAAGCTAATTAGTATTGCGGTGCCAATAGGAATGGATAAAAAATTTTAAATTATTTTTGAAGGACAGAGTTACTTGATGTCAGGAAGGACACTAGATTTTGGATCTCTTTCATAAAAAAAGTAAAATTGAGACTATAAGATAGGTTCTATTTCTATCTACAGTAAATAAAACTGCTTTCGTATTGCATGATGTTTAAAACTTGATGGAAAACATGGGTAAGAATGACATTTGCTACCATATAGTTTTTTTGTGTGTGTGTAGATTGCTACCATATAGTTTTAGGGTATTAAGAAAAAATCTTCTCCTCCACTCACAAATTTAAGGTGAATTCTATTTTGATTTTTTTTTTCTCTTCCGTGACACCAACTGCATATACTTTAATGAAATAGGATATTGTAACAATTAATTAGTGTTACTATCAATGTTACTACTAATCAATTTTATCGTTAGATCGATTACGTTGATCCAACAGTTATATTTATTTTCATCTTTATATGGTTATGATTTTTCATATTTAATACTTTATATTTATTTTCACCTTTGTATGATTATGAACCGTTAGATCAACGTAATTGATTACTACCAATCAATTTTACTGTTAGATCGATTACGTTGCTCCAACGGTTATATTTATTTCTATCTTTATATGATTATGATTCTCTATATTTAATATTTTAAATTTATTTTCACTTTTGTATGATTATGATTTCTCATATTTAATGCTTTCACATTAAATATGGAAAATCATAATCATACAAAGATGAACAAAAATATAATCTTTGGATCAACATATCGATCTAACGATAAAATTGATTGGTAGTAACATTAATAGTAACACTAATTGATTGTTACAATATCCTACCCCTAGTATAAATTATAAAAAATATTTTTTTATTCTCACTCCGTTACAAAAAGTAGTTGAGGTGGCATCTTTCTATTGGCCGGTAGCACCTATCACCGCAACATTGTAGATTTTTCCCAATTGCACACCTCTCTCTCCACCTCTCTCTCTGTTTTCTGAAGAAAAAAAAAAAAAAAAACCGAAATCATAGATCCTCCTAATTTTTACTTGAATTCCAATTATAACGTTTATTTTTATTTTTTTGGAGAAATTATAACATTTATTTATGTATAATATGTCACTCCTTTCTCTTTGTCTCTCTCCATCCACAGCTCGAGTTTAAGCTTGATTTGAACGAGCTAGGAGGAAGCAACAGTTTGCAATTTCTTGTGAATTAGGGTTTTAGTTTTAGCTAGAGAGATGGGTAGCCCTCCCCGGACGAATGAAAGTAAGGGTTTTTTTGCGGCCATGTCTTCGGGCTTGTCCATGTTCAGCAACGCTATGCACCGATCTGTCAACGGGTACTTCACCATTCCTTCCTTAATTCATCTCAAAGCAACAATTTTTATCCTTTTCTTACCCCTATGTAACATACCCACATTCGTAATCCTTAATTATTTGATAGCACTCGGTGATTGTCTAATGTTGCCTTTTAGTTGGAGCTAGATGTGAAAGTTCCCTTAGCGTAGGGTCACTTGTGTGGTTGAACTTGCATTCATAGCAGGTAACATATGTTCCCGTTACTCATGTAATTGCAATGCTTCACCTAGATTGTACATACTGGCGAAGTAGTAGGATATTGCATTCTTACAACATTGGAATGAATGGGGACAGACGGACAGTAGAGTGGATACAGCAGAGATATGTCATTGTAATGGATTACTATTTCAAGGAAAGAGGTGTAACTAATAGCATACTTGGTAGGTAAGGTGGTTCTTGGTTGATTAAAATGGCTGGCAGAATGAGACTTTTTTTTGGAGATATTCCAATCTGTTCATCGCTTCACGACTAGTCCGATTCGGGGCGGGTTCCAGAATTAAGGCTTTAAAGTTTAAACACCTCCCAAAGATGGTAATGGGGATGATCGAACACATGCTCTCATACCCCGCCTGCTCAATTTCCTAGCATCAACTGAGCTACCATCATTTGGTGGCAGAATGAAACTTTGCTCCATCTCTTTGTGCTTTGCAGCTCTTAACTCCATAACAAATAACTTTTCAATGTTGCTGTGAGCAGTTTCGCACATTGTGAGAAAAGTTGTTGCTTAAAATTTGATTTTCTTTTAAGAAAATAATCGATTCCTAATCAAAAGAAATATCAACTAGTCAAATACAATTCAAAGAAAGAACAATACACACAATTTAAGTAAAGAATAAAATAACTAATACATTCATTAAGTTCAGTCAATTCAAGCAGCCTAAGTACATGTCAATTTCCCCACCAAGTCATGCAATGATTTGGAGAGGAGTTTAAGCTTATTTTTATGTTTCTCCTTTGGTTCTAGGTTGCTGGGATATGAAGGTGTAGAAGTCATAAATCCAGAGGGAGGTAAAGAAGATGCAGAGGAAGAAGCTCAGAGAGGAAGATGGAAACAGGAGGTGCTTCTTTTGTTCGTTTATTTTTTGTAAATTTATTTTTTATTTCCAGGATTGTTGTTAATATTTCTTTATTTCTGACTCCCTGTTCAGACTTCAGACATTTAAAACGCTCCTGGCAGTTACCCCTCCCTTAAATTGTTTGTTTTGCTTTTCAGTTTTAAGAATAGGGATGCTGCCATATTTTTTTGGTTTTATTTTAGTTCCTTTTTCTCTTTTTAGGCGTATGCCTCACTCATACATGCTTGTAGCCTGAAGATTATTATCCCTTTCTTCTCTCTTTGGCTCTTGTATATATAGGAAAGAGATAGTTATTGGAAGATGATGCAGAAATATATTGGCTCAGATGTAACATCAATGGTGACACTACCAGTTATTATCTTTGAACCAATGACTATGCTTCAGAAAATGGCCGAGGTCTGCTAGCTTTAAGTTTTGCCATTGTTCATGATTACTTTATTTGTATTTTCGATTGATTGAGCTTGAAATTTGCGTGAACTAGTTGATGGAGTACTCCTACTTGTTAGATCAGGCAGATGAATCGGAGGATCCATACATGCAGTTGGTGTATGCATGTGAGTTAATTTCCCCCCTTGTATTTTCTCTTATTTTAACTCTTTTTTCCAATTGAATAGAATAGATATCTTAGAGGTACAGTTTTAGATAGGAGTAAATGGAAAACAAGTAGAATATGAAGCATTCTAACTACTTTTGATCGAGGATTTGTATGACTGACTCCAATTATCTTCAGCTTAGGTTTTTTGCAGTAGTTTTTGTTCTTCATATTGCATTGAAGTAGGCATGTGTTTTCTGATATTTCTTCACTATTAATAATTTATGTAATCATCACAGCATCATGGGCTATATCTGTGTACTTTGCATACCAACGAACCTGGAAGCCTTTCAATCCTATCCTTGGAGAGACTTATGAAATGGTTAACCACGGTGGAATCACATTTCTAGCGGAACAGGTATCTTTCCAGTATGCGATTCTCATCAGAACTCTCTGATGTAGAGCTTCTCTCTCTCTCTCTCTCTCTCTCTCTCTCTCTCTCTCTCTTTAAAATATTGTTTTCTTTGTTTTGTATGCCAGCATTTGGAAATTGGAAGAAATATTAGCTTCTCCAACTTTCTTATTTTGTTTGTCAAAACAAAGTATATGGGCTTCTTTTGTTACTTTTTTCTCTATATATAATTTTTTTTTTTTTTTTTTTTTTAATTTCAGGTGAGTCATCACCCACCAATGAGTGCTGGGCATGCTGAGAATGAGCATTTTACATATGATGTGACTTCAAAGTTAAAAACTAAGTTTTTGGGAAATTCTGTTGATGTTTACCCTGTTGGAAGGTGATGAATATATTGCTTTTTGTTTAGTAGATTTCCTTTGTTACATTGTTTTATTCTTACTGTTACTCGTATTGTTTGTATTCTTCCAAGTTCCAACTCTGATTGCTGCATTCACCTGCCACACCCTGACTGGAAGAGTTTCCTTCTCATTTCTATGCTCTTAAGAGATTATAAGTATTTTCAAGCAGCATAGAGACATATATAGTGGTATTTGATGAATATGTGGCAAATTTATTCCAATTTAATTACATTGCTTTATGAAGATCTCTCTACAAGATTGCCAATGTAGGTTTCACAGAGTCTTGATAAATTGTTTTATGAGCTTCAATCTTATAGTGGTATATGGTTATACAATAAATTAAGTCTTGAATCTCTTGATTTAACATTTACATAATTCCTTCTTAAATGGAAAATGATGAAAAGAAAAAGTGTTTTTCTGTATAACACTATTGATTGATTACATTGAGAGACCCAATAGGTCCTATTTATATTGAGTACAAAGAACAATGCTAATAAATAGCAACAGTAAACTAAGAGGCTTATTTACAATAACAAGAGACATTAATAAATAAGGGAACAAATAGCAAGGAAGTAATAAATGATAATCTAGAATATTCTACACTCCCCCTCAAGTTGGGAGATATATATTGATCATTCCCAACTTGCTGATCAAATCCTCAAAGGTCGGCTTAAGTAAACCTTTGGTGAGAATATCTGCCGTTTGTTCCTTGGTAGGTATATATGACAAGCATACACTACCGTCTTCTAATTTTTCTTTGATAAAGTGACGATCGACTTCCACATGTTTTGTTCTGTCATGATGGACAGGATTTTGAGCAATGCTGATAGCAGCTTTATTATCACAATATAATCTGATAGGTAGGGAATAAGAGATCTTCAACTCTTCCAGAAGCCTTCTTAACCAAATTCCTTCACAAATACCATGGGCTAAAGCCCGAAATTCCGCTTCTGCACTGCTTCTTGCAACAACAGTTTGTTTCTTACTTCTCCAGGTCACAAGGTTTCCCCAGACATAAGTACAATATCCTGAAGTAGATCTTCGGTCCATTGCAGAGCCAGCCCAGTCTGCATCTGTATAAACTTCAACCATCCTTTTGTTCCCCTTTTTAAAGAGAATTCCTCGACCAGGGGTGTTTTTGAGGTACTTGAGAATTCTATAAACAGCACTAAGGTGTTTTTCCTTAGGAGAATGCATGAATTGGCTAACCATGCTCACAGCAAAAGCAATATCAGGACAAGTGTGAGACAAATAGATTAATTTCCCCACTAGTCTCTGGTACTGCTCCTTATCAACATCCTCCCCGTCCTCAACTCCCATCTTGATATTAGCTTCAATTGGAGTCTCTGCTGGCTTGCACCCAAGCATACCTGTTTCTTGCAACAGGTCTAGAATGTATTTTTTCTGAGTTAAGGAAATTCCTTCCTTACTTCGAGCAACTTCCATGCCAAGGAAGTATTTGAGAGATCCAAGATCTTTTAGTTCAAACTGATCAGCTAAACATTTTTTTAAAGAGGCTATCTCCTCGGTATCATTACGAGTGACAATTATGTCATCAACATAAACAATGAGGATAGCAATTCTACCTTTGTCAGAGTGTTTAAAGAATAAAGTGTGATCAATCTGAGCTTGGGTGAACCCTCTTCCCTTAACAGCTTGAGTAAATTTCCCAAACCATTCTCTGGGAGATTGTTTAAGTCCATAGAGAGACTTCTGCAACTTGCACACAGAACCATCCCCTTTTTCAAAACCAGGAGGTGGATCCATGTAAACTTCCTCATGTAGATCACCATTCAAGAAGGCATTCTTGACATCTAACTGTTGCAATGGCCAATCAAGGTTGGCGGCAAGAGATAGCAGAACGCGGATAGTGTTAAGCTTGGCAACAGGAGCAAATGTCTCCTGATAATCAATCCCACGAGTCTGAGTAAATCCCTTAGCAACTAATCTGGCCTTATACCTGTTGATGCTGTTATCTGCATTAAATTTTATTGTGAACACCCACTTGCAACCAACAGTTTTCTTTCCTTTAGGTAATGTCACAAACTCCCATGTTCCATTTTTTATAAGTGCATCCATTTCTTCTAATACGGCGTTCCTCCATTTTGGGTCATCAAGTGCTTCTTGGATATTTTTGGGTATCCTGGTACTATCTAACATAGTGTTGAAAGCACGAAAACCTGGAGATAACTTCTCATATGAGATATAATGGGAAATAGGATGAGCAGTGCAAGATCTAGTACCTTTCCGAAGGGCGATGGGCAAATCAATGTTGGCTGTGCTAGTGCATTCAAGTGGGTTGCTAGAGCAAGGACTCGAGTTAGGATCCTGGCAGTCTAGAGTCTCTTGATGTGTTTTGCGCCTGCTGTAGAATTTTCCCCATTTACCAGGAGGATCACAAGGACTGGGAGGATCATTAGACTCAGGTATAGTTGCTCCCCTTGTTTCCTTCCCAATAACTCCCCCTGTTTCCAAAGGCCAAGGTAAGACAGCAGCTTCATTTGGTTTCCCAGGCTTATCTTCATCCATACCAGTAGACTCCCCCTGAAGAGAAGTCGGGGAAAAAAGGATCGTGTCTCATAAAAGGTAACATCCATGGAAACAATGACCTTACGGAGAGAAGGTGAGTAACACTTATAGCCTTTTTGATTAGGGGAATATCCTATGAAGACACATCTAATAGATTTAGGGTCAAGTTTGGACCTTTGATGTGGAGGAATATGTACAAAGACCACACAGCCAAATATTTTTGGAGGAAGAGAAAGAGCACAGAAAGAAGAAAAAGATTTAGTAAGACAGGATAAAGGAGAATGAAAATTTAGTACCCGAGAAGGCATTCGATTAATGAGATAAGAAGCTGTCAAGATGGCTTCCCCCCACAGATATTTAGGGACATGCATCGTGAATAAGAGAGCTCGAGCAACTTCAATTAGATGTCTATTTTTCCTTTCAGCCACCCCATTTTGTTGAGGGGTGTTAGGACAAGAACTTTGATGAATAATTCCATGCTGGTTTAGGTAATCTCCAAGAACATAATTAAAATATTCAGTGCCATTGATGAAAAGAAAAGAAAAAGTGTTTTTCTGTATAACACTATTGATTGATTACATTGAGAGACCCAATAGGTCCTATTTATATTGAGTACAAAGAACAATGCTAATAAATAGCAACAGTAAACTAAGAGGCTTATTTACAATAACAAGAGACATTAATAAATAAGGGAACAAATAGCAAGGAAGTAATAAATGATAATCTAGAATATTCTACAGAAAATGACAACAAAACTAATAATTCAGATAAGGACATGCCATGCCCTAATTGAAAGAGTTGACATCTCATTTTTATGCTCTTAAGAGATTATAAGTATTTTCAAGCAGCGTAGAGACATACATAGTGGTATTTGATGAATATGTGGCAAATTTATTCCAATTTAAGTACAATGCTTTATGAAGATCTCTCTACAACATTACCAATGTAGGTTTCACAGAGTCTTGATAAACTGTTTTATGATCTCTCAATCTTATAGTGGTAATATGGTATATGGTTATACAATAAATTAAGTCTTGATTTAACCGTGTGTCCTTATCTGAATTATTGGTTTTGTTGTCATTTGCCGTTTAACAAGGAATTATATGTTTGTGAATTAATTTTTTTGCAGAACGCGTGTGACCCTTAAGAGGGATGGTGTAGTCTTAGATCTGGTGCCACCTCCTACAAAGGTTAACAACCTGATATTTGGCCGGACTTGGATTGATTCACCTGGGGAAATGATAATGACGAATTTGACAACTGGAGACAAAGCCGTACTATACTTTCAACCATGTGGATGGTTTGGGTCTGTAACATTTCCATTTCTAATTTTTTTTTAATTAATGCATGTTTAATTGGTTTGTACCAGTTCTATATTGGATTTAAGCCCGTTTGCATTGGCTTATAAAAAAAGTCCTTTTTATGGCTTCCTTATTTTAAAAGTACTTTTTATGAAAGCTATAGTTATTTAGATTTTTAAAAAAATATTTGATTTTTGAAAAAAATATTTGGCTTTTGACTTCTGCTTTTTTTAGAAGCTGAAATTTTTAGCTTCCGAAAAAAGTAAGTTTTTGACTTTTTTTATGACTTCTGCTTTTTTTAAAAGCATGCATCCAAACAGATTTTTTTCGAGAAGTGCTTTTTTTCCTTAAAAAGTAACTTTTGAAGGAAAAAAAGCTCATCCAAATGGGCTCTTAAGTTTTCAACCTTTTAGCAATTTTGTTAGTCTTTTATAGGTTTGATTTCTGTTGGAGAAATATAGAACCATTAATGTAGGATCATCCAATAGCTTAAGTTTTTGGGTTGAATTGGTTCTTTACATGGTATTAGAGGTGACATGATTAAGTAGTCATAAGTTTAATCCTCACCACCCCATTCTATTAATAAAAATAATTAAATATTGTGGAGTTTCTTAGCACAAGTAGGTTGGGCGTGATGCATCATTCACCCTTCAAGCTCAACGGGCTCTTGTGTGAAGGGGCGTAGGGATATATAAAACCATTAATGTAGCATCACCCAATAGCTTATGCTTATTTATAATGAAATGAAATGATGGTCTGTGTAATATGTACCTTTAATTTAGCTCTACCTATTTCCTGATCTGCTGCAGTGCTAGTCGCTATGAAGTGGATGGATATATTTATAATTCTTCTGAGGAGCCTAAAATATTAATGACTGGGAAGTGGAATGAGTCAATGAGTTATCAACCTTGTGATTCAGAAGGAGAGCCTCTACCAGACACGCAATTGAAAGAGGTGATTTTTTTTTTTTTTACATTTTGAGTGACCTTGAGAATTACATGCAATTAAAGTTCATGGTAACTTTGCTTCAAACAGTGGGTATCTTGCTGTTTTCTTGGTCTTACTATTTGATGAAAAAACAATCACCCATCTTGGCATGCTTGGTAGGATAGAGTTTTAGGGATTTGTATGGACTCTGCTTCCGTTGCCAGCAGCCTTCATTGCTGATAAATCCAGCCTTTATCGTTAGTTTCCCTCCACCTTCATTGAGCACCTGTTACCACTTGTTGACTGTGCTGCAGCCCAGTCACTCTACCGCGCCCAAATCACCCGAGCAAGGACACTAGCTGTCGCCGAGATCTTCGACCAGACCGACCATCTCCCTAGACCCTCACATATGGAAAAACATGATCATACGCGTGTACAGTGCTAGCACGTATAAGCCATGCACCACAGTCTAGGCCTCCATTTACCTTGCTGATGGTCCCATTTATCCCACAGGCATCCCATGCTCCTATTCCAGAGGTCCAAAGCCGTATCCTCCAGTTTGTTGCTCACCTTTGCATGCCCTCTTGTTCTCTCTCTGTCCCTACTCAATCTCTGCCATGTCTGATACTGAGCCCATCAAATTCTCAACCATCACACTGACTAGTTCCATCCCATGATTGCAACTCCTTCGAATCCCAATGATCTCATCTGACATATCACTTTACTGGAAAAAACTACCTATATTAGGCTCAAGTCATCCATATTACCCTTAAAGGCTGTTGGAAATTAAACCACATTTAAGGGACTGCTCTTGAGAAGGCTGACCCACAAATTTAGGCATGGGATGATGAGGGCTCTCTTATTTTGATGTGGCTTCGAAACTCTGACTCCTGAGGTCAGTAGGAACTATATGTTTTGCCTAGTGCACGATAAATTTGGGGCAACCTTTGCCAGATCTACTGTATGAAGCAGACCTACTCTCTGAGTTAAAAACAAATATTTTCGCTACTAAACAGGGAACCATCTTGGTTACAGATGATTATTGTGGGATACTTAATGGGTTGTGAAATGAGCTGGATCAATACCAAAATCTCAAAATGTAGTGTAAGAAGGAAGAGGCCGTAACCTAGATCTATATAATGCTAATATATTCTGTAAAAAAAATACAAGAAATAATATTCAAATATTTCAAGTTTTTAAATAGACTGATGCTGGTGGCCGTAACCACTTTCCAGTCTTTGAATTTTCACAAGATCCATGTGAATATCCTCCATCCATCACCCCCCTTGGTTCCCCCCAGCCCTTCAAAAGAAAATAACAAATTTTGTCTTTCTTCCCTCTTCCTACCAAGCATGCAAGTGGTGACATCTCACTACGATTTTTTCAACTATTTCTACTTTAATAGTTTATTTTTATTCTTGTATACAAAATGATGTTTTCCAATTAATCTATGGTTGTGCTGTTTTCTTTTTTAAGAAACCTGAATTTGTGCTTGTGGTTTTGAACTTACCTTTGAAAAGATAATCATTTAAAGAAAATTCAGGATGTGATGGAAGAAGTCAAGGATATATTGAAGTATCTTTTGGTGATTTCTTATACATATCTGTGACAAGATACAAGTACCTGTATAATCCAAATTTTTGTTGTTTGTGAACTATTTGATTAGAAGTAATAACCATTGCTATGAAGAATCTAACAAGCCACATTGATAAAAGTAAGTAATTATGCTCGTATACTTTGCTAATATATTGACTGGTGAAGCCACTGATACCTCAAAGTTCCTTGTTATCATGGTTGGCATTTCCTGTGATTTTTTTCTGCAGGTTTGGCATGTTGCTGATGTTCCACCTAATGATAAATTCCAGTATACATATTTTGCTCATAAAATAAACAGCTTTGACACGGCCCCTAGAAAGTTGTTGGCATCGGACTCCCGTCTACGCACAGATAGATATGCACTCGAGATGGGTGATCTGTCCAAAGCTGGGACAGAAAAGACCAGGTTCCTTACCCCGTTCTTTTATTCCCCTTCTGCCCCTTTGTGCCAAAAAATATAGCAGAGCACTTTAGAAGCAATACAAATATAAACGTTTAACATTATCTATGTTGTCTTCTATAATTATTCATGATATTCACTGAAATAATTTGGCTGAGGTGGATGGAAATTCCTTTCTTTTTTCGGGTAGGTGGGAATTCGGTTTAGAACAATCAACAAGTTGGCAGAGGATTCTGTTGCCTTCTTTGTTGACCTCTTTCACTCTCTCTTTGTCTCGCTCTCATGCCCAAGAGATTGGCATTGTGGCAGTGGTTGGATATCTAGTATTGAGATTTTGTTAGGCTTCTCTGCCACTGTCATCCCCTCCTTCAAATAGAAATGGGCTTGAGTTTCACCAGATTGATGATGTGAGGTTGTTTCCCAGGGTATTTATTTATCTTGTGTTTGTTTCCTTTCACAGTTTGGAGGAGAGGCAGCGTGCTGAAAAGAGAACACGAGAAGCAAAAGGGCATAACTTCAAACCAAGATGGTTTGATTTAACTGAAGAAGTGACACCAACTCCATGGGGAGATTTGGAAATCTACCAATATAACGGTAAATACACTGAACACCGGGCTGCTGCTGATAACTCGAGCAGTGTTGATGATATTGATATCAAATCAATTGAATTCAATCCATGGCAGTTTGGCAACTTGTCCACGGAATGAAGTAGTTCCAATTTGCTTTTGGTTTTTGGATGCTGCAGTTAATTTATGTAACGTTTTTGTTGATGCATGGAAGAAATCTAATGTGTTTTTGGTTGTGTTGTTGGGTTGAGTACATTGTATATACAGTTCTCTTTCTGCCTTAATTGATCTATCTTGTGATATTGAATGTTTAGCATGGGTGGTTCCTGTAGTGGTTAATTTTAACTCGTATATATACGTTGCTGCTTAACAAGTTAGACATATTGGGCCTGTTTGACTGTGTTTTGCCTTTTTTTTTTAATGAAATAAGTATTTTATGTGTTTTTTTTAAAGCTAAAAATCAAAATATAAAATAGAAACAACCGAAATATATTATTTAAATTTGATTCTAAAAATTAAAAAATAGTTATAATTTTTAGGGGATAGGATATACTTATCACAAAAAATGTTTATCCCATTTACAATCAATTTAATCATTGTTGATTTTCGTCAATCTAATAGTTATAATTTATTAAGAATTAATAATTAATTAATAAGTATAATTCAATAATTTTTAATAAAATATAATCGTTAGATTGATGAAAATTAACTGTGACTAAGTTAGTTGTAAGAGTGGTAAACTTTTTTAGTGGTAAGTATATTTTTTTCCAAATTTTTTTAGAACTATTTTTATAAAATAGGTATTATCAAACAGATATTTTTTTATTCTGAAGATTAAAAAATTATTATTGAAAACAAAATCCAAATAGCCTTATTCACGATTCTCAAATGTGTAAATCGATACCTCCATTCCTCCCCACCGTTTTGTCTTTCATGTATTTAAGGTTTCAACAAACAAGGCACAAATCACTTTGTGAACATTTCTCTATTGCATTGTTGATGAATCGATAGAATCATAGAATCAAAGTTTAAAGTATCCATATCTGATAGCTATAAATAAATAAAACTCCATCCTGTTTCCAGGTTAGGCATAGGTCAAGTTTTCAAGTGCCTCCCATTTTAGAAAAAGGAGCATAAGAATCTGCTCCCCTTCTCAATTACCTTTATCAGTCATTGAATCTAATAAGCATATTAATTTAATTACAATGGATCATAAGCCTTGACTGATTTGATTTTTTAAATACAATATTTTTACCCCCACATTAAGCACATCTTTGAAGAGCATGAATTAGTTAATTGCATGACCCCCCACCTTTTCTTTCATGTTACCATTACCAAGCCTAATTTGAAGGGAGGGTAGATTGTACAAAACATTAATTATATTATACCGCAAAAGGGTGCCCTCTCCTGAAGGCACTATTCCACTACTAACCACTTCATCCTCATCTTTTTTTTTTCTTCTCCTTTATTTCCGTTGGGGGAAACTGAGATCTGAATGTGGCTTCTACGTCAAGTAAATTCTATTCAAGTTACGTGACCTTCAATCTCCCTTCAACTCCACACTTGATGCCTTCTATTTCCAAATTCCTCCTCAATATCATATTATACATTTTCGATTCTTTCTTTTTTTAGCCCACCTGATTTTACTCCAGCATAATGTCAGTTTTATGAGTCACAGTCACAATTTTGATCTATGTATATTTTTTTTTGTTACTTCTTTAAATTAATTTAATAATTTATATTGAACTTTATATCATCAGAATATATTTCATAAAATATATTAAAATTTTCCTGACACTACGGTCAATCCAACAAAGCTGAGCATCGTGAAGAATATTGGGTTGTATTATACAAATAACAAAGCAATTTTTCATGCATGATATGATGAATTGGTGTTGTCTTTATGCATTCTTTTAATATCAGGCGTTAATATCAAGAGGTTTTTCATTCTTGCTTGTTTTCTTTAGGGGTTAAATTGTCTGAATGAAAAATTCAAGGGTGTTGCTAAATATTTGCCGTAATCCGAATCCAGATCTGTAACTATATAACTATTCCACCATCATTTAAATAAGACAAAAATTGCAAAGCTTTTCCAGCTTTCTTGGGGCTGGAATGGATTCCTTTGCCTTGAAACTAATACGAAAGTGGCCTAACACGCTATCTCTCTCGTGGGCCAGCTTGCATTTCCTTGTATGAGGGTTGCAATAAGAGTTATATGATTTGATGTGCACTTAATTTGAATAGTCTCATAGTATAATATTATCATATATGGTTTTTGAGGCGGATCATATGATGCCATCATATAATATAAATACACAAAATTTTTTTTTTTTAACAAAACTGCAGAGAAAATCATGCCGGTTATGAGAAGATGGATTTTAGATAAGGGTTTTTGGGATATGCAACTCTCACTCACACTCAGCATAAGAACTATTGTTTTTGGGATATGTAACTCTATCCCCCTGGCTATATTATGGGTTTAATATTTTTTATATTGTTGAAAATAATAAATTTATCTCTTATATATAGGAGTGTGTATGGGTTGAATTGGATTGAATTTTTTGAAAAATCGAACCGAATTGATTTAAATGGTTCAATTTGAAAATGGTTCAATTTAGTTCAAAACTGATTCAGTTCGGTTCGAAAATGATTCGGTTAAAAACGTTTCGGTTCAGGTCGACTTTCTTCTTAAAATAAAAAAATAATAAAAAAATGAAGAAATAAAGTAATAAAAAGCTGTTCGATTTGGTTCGAAAGTGGTTAGGTTCGGTTCGAAAACGGTTTAGTTCGATTCGAAAATGGTTCGGTTCAGTTCTTGAACTGGTTTTAAAAACCAGTTTGGTTCATGAATTGGTTATGTAAAAACTGATTCGGTTTATGAACTGATTTTTAAAATCTGATTATTTTAAGTGCAGTTCAGTTTGATTCAAGGTTCAATTTAGTTTTTTTTTGGTTATTTTGCATATTCCTACGGTTATATATGCATAAAAGTATTTGGAACTCATGTGAGCCCATATAAAGAGAAAAGAGAGAGAGAAAAAATACAAATTCCACATATTTTTATGTGTGTATAAGAAATAAATTTATCTATTGAGAAATATTAAATCCTTAAATTATACATGAAAGGATTCACCCAAAAATATAGGTTCAGCTTTGTATCAGTTCATGAATGAACTAACTATATTAATAGGGAAATGATCTGTTTACAAATTTTTTTTTACAAACTTACAAATTACACTATATCTGACAGGTAATACTCTACTCAAGAGTTTATTATCGGTCAGACATAATATAATTTGTAAGAATTAGTAAATAAAAAATTTATAAATATAACCTTTCCCGTATTAATATGATAGAGTTATCAAGGAACAGTGCCAAAGTGTCACTGTTGGCAAAAAAAAAACACCAAAATGCCATGCCAACAGTAAATTTTGCCAAAATGCTATGTGGCATATTTCGTTACACTGTGTAGCGAAATATGTGTGCAAATAATTCGCTACACGGTGTAGCAAAATATGCTACGTCAGAACCAAAAATGCCACGTGTCAAACATGGAGAATTTCGCTGCACAGAGTAGCGAAATTCTCCCTGTTTGACACGTGGTATTTTTGGTTCTGTGCATTCTGACGCGACATATTTCGCTACACCGTGTAGCGAATTATTTGCACACATTTCGCTACACAGTGTAGCGAAATATGCCACGTGGCATTTTGACAAAATTTACTGTTGGCGTGACATTTTGATTTTTTTTTCCAACAGTAGCACTTTGACCACTGTTCCAGTTATCAAAGTTCAAACTATCTCCCACTTATACAGGGAAAAAAAACTAGGTTAGTGATACGTTTAACATTTCCCTTAAATCCTTTTTTTGAACCTAAATGTATTTTGATGACACGCTCATCCTGTTGTTCATATGTGACTGTTAAAAATATTAAAATGAAAAAAAAAAACCATTGAGCGATGAGTGAGAGAGAGAAAGGTGATCATGGGAAGAATCCTGGCAAATCAAGTGAAGAACTTGACATTCTTCAAAGAAGTAATAAGAGGAATAAAGGTGAGGGAGATCAGTTTTCAAATGATGTATCTATGATACCTAGACATGAAGGTTGGATGGAAGATGAGAATGGCCAACGTTCAACCTGGAGGGAAATTCTGATGCGTCATAATGGAGAAGATGATGAATGGGAAGGAGAGGCGTCTGCCGAGGAAGACTTAGATGGGGAGGAACCTGCTGAGGAAGAGGATGTCAACCATGGAGGAATTAAGATGTGGGAGGAAGATGATGGGCGTACTTATTTTAGTTGCACCAAAAGAGCAAGGAAGAGAATGAGGAAACCTTGGGAGAAAGCTCTGATTGTTAAACTCCTTGGGAAGAAAATTGGGGTGGAGTTTATGAAGAAAAAAATAAATGTCGTATGGGCTAGAAAAGGCAAAATCAATGTCACTGATATTGGTAATGACTTTTTCGTAGTCCAGTTTAGTGAGAAGGATGATCTCAATTTTGCGTTGAACGGTGGTCCATGGATTGTTTTGGGTCATTATTTATCGTTGAGGAAGTGGGAACCAACTTTCAGACCTAATAGTGCTGGAATTGCTAAGATTGCTGCTTGGATTCGTCTACCGGATATTCCCATTGAATTCTATGATGAAGCTTTTTTTAGAAGGATTGGAAACTGGTTAGGCAAGATGATCAAGGTAGACAACAATACAAATGCTCATGTAAGAGGACGGTTTGCAAGAATATGTGTGGAACTGGACCTATCTCAGCCATTAAAGGGTGATTATGTGCTGGAAGGATTTACCAAACAAATTGAGTATGAAGGATTAGGGCTCATTTGTTTTGGTTGTGGGAAATATGGACATAGCACCGAGAATTGTTCAGCTGCTCCAAAGCAACGCAGTTCATCCGATATTCATAATGACGATCAAATTCATCAAGAGGAACCTGGCAACTCAGAATTCCATCGAAGTAAAGGATTGGGACCTTGGATGGTTGTTAATCGTCAACGCAGGAGCCGACAACCTCCTCAGACGGCCGGTGCAGTCCAGCCAGGCGCTGGTTCAAAAACGTTACAAAGGAATAATGATAAGGGAGTTATGACCAGCGATAATCATGGAGATAATCATGGTGATAAGAGAGTTATGACCAGCGATAATCATGGTAATCATGGTAATAAGGGAGTTATGACCAGCGGTAATCATGGTAATAAGGGAGTTATGACCAGCGATAATCATGGAGATAATCATGGTGATAAGGAGGAAATTACGCAATCACGGTTTGCAATCTTAACAGCTGGACCTATTAATGAGGAGG